CTCACATTCAATTGTCCTTTATCAAAAAGGTTGTTTTTGCCAAATTATTCTTGAAGAAATCTTTTCAATTCAAAGATGGCTTAATTTCTGAATGCCAAAGCTAGAAATAATAGTAGCAATCACCTATTATATCTACATTAAGGAAAGGGAACTCAACTAGGTAGTGATAAAATCTGAACTATAAATGAGTTCTATTGATTAAATATTCAGTGCTATATTCAAATTACTGTAGAGATACTCAGAAATTCCAAAATAAAATATTCACTGGAAACAAGGTAAGTACTGTGGCCATAGCCACTCATGTTTCTAGATAGTTCTAATCAACAGGAATTTTTAGTTTTCAAATAATGTTAAAGATTTCTAAAATATTGAAATAAACTCATATATCTTGATGATATACCAGAATGACATATTCAAGTTATTTGGCAACTTGCATCAGAGTAAAACCAACACTCAATAAACTGAAGCCAAACAACTTCTCCATAATGAATAATGCACCAAAATGCACTAGATATTAATTGCAGTAAGTGATTTTTAGCTCAAGTTTAGGAATTAGGGAATCTATTCTACAAACAACTATATTGGTCTAATCATATGATAAAGATGTAACCGGGGAGGTATGGAATTGTGGGGGAGAGAGGAATCTGAACAAAGACCCACAGACCTGTTATTCACAAGTCATAGGAATATTTCATATTTATTGCCTGGGAGGGGAATAGAGTTGGAGATTCATGGAAATAGTGTTTGAATTAAGAATAGAGTGAGGTAAGAAATGATGCTTTGGAATCACTTGATTGAGTGGCTATGGGGTGGCAGAGGACATATGGAAATACTGCAGTATAATCAAATCTTAATGAGTAGGCTCAGAACCAAATTAGTTCTGGGATGTGGTATAAATTTTTTTTTTAAAAAAAGAATGTGACAAGAGGTAGTATTAAGTTCCTCTACTAGACACCACTAGCCTCATTTATTTTATGTTGCTTCTGATGAAGACTAAGTGATTGGCTTGTGGGAAGGTTGGGCAATCTATTTCCATAGTGACACTGCCTCAGAAACCCAAGGAGGGTCACTATGAGTTAGACCTGACTTGACGGCAGTGAGGTTTTTTTGTTTTTGTTTTTGTTTTTTTTGGTTTAGTTCAATGACCTTTGGGCTCCCCATGAACACAGACCATCTATTTTCCCTCATCTCTCCATTTGCAGAGACTTTTCTCTTCTAGTGAGAAGACCCCAGTTCTTACCATTGTAAGAATAGAAATTTGTTCTTTTGCTGAATTCACAGTTTGCATGTTTTAATTGAACAAATCTACACATAGATAGCCATGCCCTCTGCTGACTAGTGATACTACCTTCCTTTGAAACACATGACTCAGGAAATAGAAGATAAAGATGGGGTCCATCTGATGAAATGTGTCAAACTTTAATCCAATTTTAGTGTTAATCCATTTTCTTATTTATCTTCATCGTGAAGAACAGAAACTGTCATTCTCCTTTTTCATCATCATCACCACCACCCAAAGCAGCAAGTAACATTTATGGAACATCAACTTTCAGTCCTTGGACAATTACTCAAAATGCTTTCAATTAGACATCTGAACCCATGTGTACAGGAATTCATGAGGAAAAAAATTTACTAGAGGAACATAAGAGTTATTGCACATCTGTGGCTGGGAAGGAACACATATTTTGTTGAAATAAGAAGAGTAGAATTCTACAGAAACATTTGGTTAGAGTTGTTTGGGCTTGCACATTCTCTACTGCACAACCCCACAATCTTATTGGACTATCATGGGACAGAAATCTGCCAACTCTAAATGATGGTTCCACCACATAACATTCAAGTGCTAGGAGTATTGGAGGAATCCTAAGTTATTACAGAGACTTATTTCTGACACACTCGAGTACAGTATATTTGACATCTAGATAAGCTTATAGGAATGATCTTCTGTCAGTACTAGTACAAGGATAACTATAGGCATTATTCATGGTAATTTTCTTTATCCCTTCTTATGAACACTTTTTTTGCCAAGCTCCTACTTCCTGAGAAGTGGTAGGTCTGAGAGTTATCTCAATAAGCTCCCATCAAAACCATGTTTTCCTACATTTAACTTTACATTTGGCTGAAGACCTGGTAGGATGAATATCATTTCCTACAGACACCCCAGGAGCTCTGGTAGCATAGTGCCTAAGGCACTTGACTTCTAACCAGAAGGCTGGTGGTTCAAACACACAAGCCACTCCTTGGAAGGAAGGCTGGGCAGTCTACTTCCGTAGTGATACTACCTCAGAAACCCAAGGAGGCATCGCTATGAGTTGGGTTGGACTCTACGGCACATAACAACAACAACAACACAGACATCCCAGATGCTCCTATTAAATACTGAAACTCAGTAGATTGCAGTGCAGGTGGTACACTAAGCTGAAGGTGCTATAAAACCACTCTTAATAGAGACAGGGAAGTTTTGTGTCTGGTGAACATATCTGTCATAGTAAAGTAATTCTCTAAGAAAAATGTTCTTGGGTAACCAAAACTCTAAAGAACCATAAGTCAAGATGGACTATTATGTTGGCTTATAGGAAAAACTGAGTCCTAATCATCAATAACTTTTTATATAGTTGGCCACACCTGGCCAATCACTCCTGGGAGGATGGTAATAGAGTGGTCTAAACTATATTTGGTAGATATTTAAGAGAAAGCTGAGGACCTTATCATTCTCCTCCTTAGATATCTTGGTACATTATATTCAGATTTGTCTGTGTTCCTGACTAGGAAATAGGCATCACCTATGCTCTTCTCTTTTATTATAAGGAGCTATGATCCTACCCAAATCATTGGTTCAGGGTGTGCAAAAGTGCTGGGGATAGGAAAGCCAGGAAACATCACCATCCACACTTATTTTAAGGAGACTAAATCTCTTGTCTTTAGCATTTCAGGTATATAAGGGAGGAATTAATACCAATAGAGACAGAATCAATGAGGTTTGACCAGGCTATTCCAAACTATGCTCCCAGGAAAAAGCATTGTTACAAAAATGCCAGGAAAAATGTGGGTTTTCTGGTAGCAGGTAGAGGTTGGGACAGAAGGACAAAATGAAATGTGAAGTCAAAAATTGTTTCTTAGATTTACTAGTAGATGCTGCTAGTGAAACAGCTTCTTTCCAAATATTTCAGAATCTTCTCAGGTGTAGTTGACCCCTTAGGACATGGAATAGGGATTCCTAAGCACATAGGCTCTGACCTCATCTGCTTCTCAGCTACTTACTTAATTCCCAGAATAAATCAGAACAGCTTAGACTTACTTGGACATCATTTTATATTAAAATCTATTTTTCTTCTTCATTGTGGCTAGAGGGGAGGTTCTGGGGGGCAGCATAAAGGGAAGACAGAATCCCCAAAACACTGGTTGACAGAATTATTCAATATCAACTCAAGATCTTGGATTTTTTTTTTTTTTTTTTTAATAGTTGCACCCAGAAATACTTATCTAAAAGCCTTTTTTTCCCCTAAATGAATTTAACATCCTTCCCAGGTAAGGAAATAAGGTGTTTCAGCTTGAGGAGGGACTGCTTGAAAGTTTCTAGCCTCAGTCAGGCACTACTGACTGAGGGCATAAGAGATGCAATCCCGACCTCACCCCTCACCATGCTTCTGTCAGGAGGATAATGGTGGTCTCCTAACTTTCCTGTCTGTCATCAGAGCACATATCATAGAATGACCCCATTCCCGCTCCCACTGAAGAGTGGGTCTAAGGAACAAACAATTGAGGTGGGAGAACAACCACTTCCCTATTCTCAAAACCAAGCTAGGCAGGCTTTCCTCCCCACACACCTACCCTCCACTTGAGAATGAGGTACCACACCAAGGTGAAGAGGGATATGGAACACTTTTTAATGTCAAGTCAGAGACAATCCCTCCCTCCCATCTTCCCCAATCCCACTTCCCTCATCACATCCAGAAGTCTGTCTGTTTCCCAGACTTTTGGAGAGGAAGAAACAGTTACCTAAAAACTGCATGTTCTTTTCTTTCATACACACGCACACAAAGGTGGAAAATTAAATAAAGTAAACCAAGAGGATTAAATTCTCCAGTGATCACAAAGGCATCAGAGATTCCCATAATGGGCCAAAGCAAATGGTTACTTATTTTTTAGTTGTTCAGTTGCTTACTGCTTGTTAATGCCTCAAGGTATGATGGAGGAGCAGCCACATTTGGTGGCCTTCACCTCAAGGAGCCACACCTGGAAAGAGATGCTGCACCTTGTATTAGGTTTTTTTTTGTCACTTTTTGTAAATGTCTCTGACATGTAAATAACCCGAGAAAATAAAAATAAAAAGGCAGAAGCTGATTACACAATTACCAGTAAACTCTATCATCTTTTAGACCAACACACAGCTAACGCCATATACAGCATGCAGTAATGTCTGAGAAAGGACCCTGCTGAGAAATAAAATGGCTAGAATTCAAACCAAAAAAAATATGCATATATATACTGTATAATATATGTCATCAAAAGAAGCATAGCTAACAAACTCAAGATACAGTGTGAATCACTCTCTCCATTTCTAAACAGTATGTAGATAGCATAGTATTGTCTGCAGTAAATGCCAGAGTAAGGAGAAATCTGTATCTCTGGTGGACATGTTGGTTAAATTATATATTTTGGTGGATATGTCCAATCTTCCTGGGGTTTAATGCCCGCTGTTGTGGTCCACCAGTTGTAAACCTAGATAAGAAGTATACTATTCATGTTTAATGTTTAACACACATACTTCTTTTCACCCTTTTTATGCATTTTTTTAGTTTTGTCTTGTTTTTGCACTAAGTTCTAGACTCATATCAGAAAATATAATTAATAAAATTAATAATGAATCAGAATCCCTTATTATCCATGATATCATGTAGTAAAATGAAAAAAAAAAAAAAAGCTTAACAATGTCTTTTTATAATTGTTGTTTGTGGGATTGTTGTTGCTGTCAGGCTGTCTTGTTTCTTTTCTTTGTGTTTTCAATCTTTTACATTTCATAACACACACAATGGTGGCACAGTCCATGAAAGGGCCTCCAGTGGCACATTTGGGCCTGCACATATGAACTGTTCCTCTCTTTTGGCTGGCTGAATTTAGAATGGCCGGCTCCAGAATTTTCCATGGTGGGGGCACATGAATGGGCAGAGTGGTGGAATTCTTTCCCATCCTGGGAACGAAAAGGTCACAGAATGCAGCTTGAGGGTTGGTCCAAAGCTGGGTATGCATTCTTCCCGTATGAGGAAAGAAAGAAATCTCAGTGGTACCTAAATATCTGCAAGGCAATTTTCAATTTCCTTTTTATTTGTTTCTCAATATATTCTTTGCTCCCCTCCCTCAAATCTGTGTCCCCTTAGGCTTTGTTTCTCTGAATTTCATTTGATTACATCTTATTTAAAAACGGAGATGCTCTTGTTGCTGTCGGTGTTGCCGGTGTTGTTGTGTTGGTGGTTGTAGTGGTGGCAGCTTTTCCCCAGTTGGGGGAGTGACACTCACATCAAAATTTTAGGAGTAAGTGCAAGACCAGAAGAGGTAACAGCCAGATGCAGCCAGCCCTCCGTGATGTGCTGTTGTTTACCTCACTGACTGCTCCAGGACCTGCAGAGAGAACATACCTATCTTGAGTTTGGCAGAAAATGGAATAGAACCTTATCCCATCTCCTGATCTGCAGTAATCAGACTCTGATAAAGCATCCCTCTAGCCAAGAACATGTGGTGCTATGTTAGAATGTGCTCCCCTAGCTATGGTTATGTGGATTCATTCTATAGAATGGGCATCCTTCCCTGGCACAGAAGATCATGAGGCTCAGGTTGCAGTTTCCTAGTGGTCACTGCTCTTCTGTTGTGTCATAACATGCTAAAGCCATGGGCCAGAGTCAAGTTTTAGGATAACTAAAAACCAAACTCACTGCCATCAAGTCAATTTGGACTCATAGCAACCCCCTTTAGGTTTCCGAGGCATTAAGTCTTTACAGACGTAGATTGCCCAGTCTTCCTTCCACAGAGGGGCCGGTGGGTTTGAACCACCAACCTTCTGGTCAGCAGTCAAATGCCTTAGGCACTATGCCAAAATGAATATCCTATATAAAGTTTCAATTAAGTAATCCCCCTAAACTCTTAGGAGCTCTGGTAGCATAGTGGCTAAAGCACTTGACTGCTAACCAGAAGGCTGGAGGTTCAAACCCACCAGCCACTCCTCAGCAGGAAGGTTGGGCATCCAATCAGTTTGGAGTACTGACTGCCCTGAATATCAACACACTCTCCTAGCTTCCCAGGCTGTTGCTCAGAAGAAGACCTGTTGAACACAGCAATCTGTCTGCCTACTGCTGCAGCTTCATCACACCCAGCATCCTCTTTGCCGACCCCAGGGAAGGAGTTCTGGTGGCGTAGTGCCTAAGGCATTGACTGCTACCAGAAATCTGGGGGTGCAAACCCACCAGCTACTCCTTGGAAGGAAGGTTGGGTAATCTACTTCCATGGTGATACCACCTCGGAAACTCAATGAATGGTCATAATGAGTTGGATCCAACTCCACAGAAGTGAGTTTGGTTTTGGTTTTGGTTTTGGTATCTCAAGAAATGGCACAATGGCACCTGGCCTCTACCTCATCTGAATGAGGTAACAGAACTAACTAGAGTTATCACATCCCTGAAAAGCCAAAACTGGCCCACCTGGAGTGGAGAAAGGATCAAATAAATAAGCAGGAGGCCTTTTGCTGTGCATATGATTTATGTAGACAATGGGAGGTAGAATATGCTATTGTGTATGTCTGTGGGTAGAAATGAATCACATATTTCTCTAAGAGAACATACCAAACTGGCCTGCAGACAGATACTCTGACATGGATCCAAATACAGGAGGCAATAGAACTACGGGGTCATAAAATCCCCTAGAAATTTCCCTGTTGTTCTAAATATAAGCTTTATGGACACCTCAGTCCTTGTGACCAAGACCCCCCAAAACAAATGGAGTTATTATTCATGAGCAGTATACACAAGTTTGGATGCTCAGATAATTTAGGTACCTAATGAACCAAGGCATCTTTTCAGATTGGACCTGGTGGGGCATGCTATGTTGCAGTGTATTTAATGGAGGTGTTTAATGTTAGGCACACATTAACTCCATGTCCTCCAAGCAGAACCTGCTTGCTTGGCTTGGAAATGACACTGAAGATATGTCTGGCTAAAAGAGATCATAATCCAATCAGCCATCTTGATTCCATTGGGACCTGGAACTCCTGGGCTGGAGACACTGCTCATAGCACTTAATGTCTTGCATTTGGGACAAAGCTCTGATTTTGAGGATGTGGGGAAATAGACAGTCAAGAGTTTGGAATGCAATAGGCCATTCAACCTTATGTTTGAATGACCTGGTGTCTGATTCATAGCATCTCCAAGATCGGAACTTGGTTGTACAGTTCCATGATAAGCACTAGAGAAACCTATTCTGCTTTCTGCTTGTCAAGAAGGTGAACAGATGGGTAACACAAAACTTAAGACATCTGCCACAGAACACCCTCCTCCTAGTCCATAGTGTGACAGAGGTGATAAGAAGAGTTCGTGAAAAGCTGTTGTAAGAAGTACATTCAATTTCAGAGAGGCCTGTGATGTAGGATTGATATGTGCTCCTTTGTAGCTTTGCTTCTCTTCCCCCCATCCACCACTGTGGAGTACCACAGTGAGCCTGCAGGGAGGGTCCCAATCTAGCCTGTAATAAACTCTTCCTGTGTCTTATAAAATTGGCTATGTCTTCTAAAATGTAACTTGAGAGCAATGGGTATTATGTTTTTATATAAACCACCACCATGGACTCTATTTATGTCTAGTCACGCTCTTATTTACACAGCATTCATTGGAATCACAGGAAAGAAGCCACTATGATACCTTCAAGGGTCATGTCCTTTACCCTCAGGGCCACTCTGATAACATTCATACCAAAATGTGTGTCAAGGCCTGGGGCCACTAAGACTTATGGACTATTTCTGAGTCCATGGGGACCAACAGGGCTTTGTGGAGTCTCTGTTTAATCTAGTGCTTGTGATCCACCTTTCCACAAGCCTATCAGACACAGGTGATTTCAATTTGCCTTGCACATCCGGACCCCTGTGCTCTTGGCACATCTTTTAGCACATCACATGGCTCTTTCACTTTTTCTTCTGTTGTTTGTCTTCTTATGTCTCTGAACACTCACACACTTTGAAATCAACATTTCCATTCTATCATAATGTTCCCTCCACACCTACCCCATGACAAAGAAGATTCCTATGGTAAAGGAGAAAGGGACACATGCCTCTTTCCAGAATTTAGAGGTCCTCTCTTCATTCCCAAGTCCCCTACTCTCAGGGCTGAGCAGCCACTGGGGGTCTCCAAGGAGAATAATGCCACAAACCAGGTGTACAGCAAGCAGGGAACTGGCATGATCATCTTGTAGAAATCTGAAAATTCTTGTTTTGTGCCAGGGGCTTAATGGCACAGCAGCAGCCATGAGCAGGATGTGCCACCACTGCATGTGCACAATGGCCTGTAGCCTCAACCAGGTGCTCCCTCTGGGCACTGTGTTCAGTCTCATGGCCAGCCTCCTCCAGCTCTTTTGTAACTCTGCCTGTGCCCCCCATCACCTGTTGCAGAGCACCACAGAGAGCCTGGAGGGAAGGTCCTGACCTGGCCTGTTAGAAAACTCTCCCTACAGAAGGAAAGAAAAGGCCACCAAATGCCTACCTGGCAGACCCTCCCCATTCTTATACTGTTTTCCTAGGAAAGTTCCCAGGTCCTTTCTCTGCTCTACCATCAGTTGTCTACTCCCAAACAGGGCTGTGCTTACCTGTGGAAGGCCACATCCAGCCTGCCATTCTCTATTCAACATACATTCTCTCACCACACCCTGACTGCACCCTTCTCTTCAGCATTCACAGAGCACCTGGCCTGGAGGAAGCTGTAAGGAGGAGGACACAGGTAAATGTCCTCACACATTCTCTGAGACAAGATAGCCCTCATCAGCTCCACATTCTATTTCCAAATTGGCCCATGAACCATCAAATTTATTCTTCTTGTTAACTCCAGGGTGATGTTTCTAAGAATCAAAATTAATTTGAATCCTCCAGCTTGCACAGAAATCTCAACTTCCTGGTGGAACATTCATTGTAATCCATAATCTGCTAGCTCTCTGTCCCTTTAGCCTCTCCTTTTGCCACTTGCCATTTCTTCTTGCCCTGTGATTTCATGCAACACAGCCACACATGTACATGCATATGCACACATACATATATGTGTGCACACATGCACACACTCTCATGAGCACACATATGTGCACGTGTGTACACCCACACCCACACCCACATGTACAGTTACATATGCATACACCCTTGTATGCACATACATTGACACATGCACACATCTACATACATATGCATACATAAGCACACTCACACATGCACTCTTTAGTCATATTCCCTTTCTTTCCGTATCCCTCTCCTTGAACCACTCTTCACCCAAGTAACTTCAGACTGTGCTCAGCATCCAGGAATCTTCTCCAGGTAGCCTTCTTTGACTCTCACAGGTCAGCTCTTAGAGCACCACAGGTATCTCCCTCTTAAAATATGTCCCACCCTGTATTACAGTTCTCTATCTATTTAAAGTATGCATTTCCTCCTGTCTGCTGTGAGCTCCTTAAGGCGAAGCTTACCAGGGTCATTGCAGGTATTCAATGAATCGTTGTTGAAAAAAAGACCCAGGCTGACAGGTCAGTATTTTCTTTGTTTCTCTGTTTATTTTTCTCTTATAATAATACTGAGAGAAAAAAGAAAAATACTCTTTTCCTACCTTGCCTTCTGCTTTAGATTTTTCTTCCAAACAACTTTCCCTCTTTTTCTTTTTCCAATAAAATTCACTGAAAATCTTTGTAGTTGAGGAAAATATACATAAACCATTTGATACAGTAAACTATACCAGCTAGGGTTTCAAATATAGTGCTTGCAGTTGGAAAGATAACACAGTCCTTTAATGATCCTCATCCTCTACTAGATGAGGATCATTAGCTCCCTTTTTAATAGGCGGAGACTTAATTGACTCTCCCAAGGTGAGCTGGCTTATGACTCAGTCTTCTGGTTGCAGTTTTAGAGAATGAAGAGAACACAGAAAAGGTGGCATAGGACCTCCCCCACCTGGACACTGCGTTATGGAGGGAACAAGGTGTACACCTAGTGTCCTCAACATGGCTGTCTTGCACTTGCCAGCACATGAAGGAGGCTGCAAGGTGAATGCTTTTATGCAGATAGGCAAGATCCCAGTTGTCCTGTGAGCAGGGCCCTTGAAGACCCTGTGCTGGCCAGAGTGACAGCTCAGGCATCTGTCTGGGCACAGGCCACAGGGACAAGCCCTCCATGTTTCTTTCAGTCACAACTCTTCCCATGTACAATGCCTTCATCACCTCTCTCTCATTAGGGAGCTGCAGAGGCCACAGAGACTAATTAACAGGACAGGCAGGGTCTCAGGGAATGGTGATGAGTGTCAATTAACCATCAGAAACATCTGGTAGAAATGAAAGCCTCAGATAAGACACATTTTATTTGCAGCAAAGTGACTCAACCAAGAACCTCCCCC